GACTACGCCACAACGCTAATCCGCGACCCAAGACAGATCTCGACATGATCTTGCTGCTTGATCTCGCTGAATCTAGTATCTCAGTCTACACAGAGATCCGACGCACGGCGCAGACAGCCAACGAATCAGCCGTTAAGTGCGTGCTGGGCGCTAGGCCCCTTGTCATCCCACCTCTACTAGATGCCTTTGTCAAGGCTGTGGCCGAAAGCGACTACCCTCGTATCAAGGGTGCCATGTTTACACTTCTCTTTGGCAGCCTAGCGAAGACTATCAGCCGCGACTGGCGCTTCACACCCAAGCTCATCAAAGCTTTCATTGAGGTCACCGGTGCCGATAAGCCTTCAGTGCAGAAGCTTGCGACCAACGCCACGTTCCAGATTATGGACATGGGTAAAGCAATGGAGCGCATGGTTATCCTGCCGAAGGAGGTTGTAGAGGCCATCGCATACGCCATCGACTCTAGCGAGGGCGACAGTGTACACACCAAGGTCACCAAGCGTCGGGACTACATCAAGAAGAAGCGCGCTCGCATCGAGGGCAAGAAGTCTGAGCTGTCCAAGGAGCTTGTACATATCGCCAATACTGAGCACTGGAAGAAGGTCAGTAGGACCGCCGCCATCATTGTCAACTTGGGAATGCGCTACGACAGCATTGCTTCCGACGAGATGATCGACCTCGTCGCGAAGGGATCCATCGATCAACATCCCAGCCTCAGAGGCCTCTATGCTGGTGCGCTTATCGGCTTGTACTCGGTCATTCAGACCCGTGCGATCACGGGACACGACTACGAGAAGTACTTGCTCAGCGAAGAAGAGCTCCCAGATAAGATCTCGGTGCCGACTAGGCCAGAGGATCCAAATTGGACTGAGGAGTACCTTGCATCATTTGCGCAGCCAGAAGCCAAGTACTATGTCGACTTTGATTATCCTGGCTGGCTTGTATGGAACAAGAGTATGACCGCATTCAAGCCCAACGCACCGCAGCTATCATACGATGAGGTCGAATCTGGCGTCCGTCAGAAGATCGCGAAGCACCTGACTCGATCTTGGTTCTCCAACTACTTCGCCTTCATGAAGCAAGAGCCACGCGATAACAGCGCTGATAGGTTCCGTATGTCAAGCGCGATGGTTTTGACTCACTCCTTTGACCTCGTCTTCTGCGGCCTAACAGAGGCGACGTTCGAAGACATCAAGGACCTCACTCAATCCGTATACGCTGACGGCAGCGACAAGCATCAGCACCGCGCCACCGCCGAGATTATGGCCGCACTACTATCATGCGCACCAGATCTCAAGGCAGATCAGCGTGAAGCGGTGTGGGAGTACGTTTTCCCCATTGTGCGTGGAATCTTCCAGGACGGTCTGACGCCAGAAAACTCTGGGTACTGGACCACTTTCCTTCATGTTGTGTTGCAATCGAAGGATCCACGCCGAGGATGGCCGTTGGTCGACTGGCTAGCGAGCTTCCGCCTTGATATGGAGTCCAACGCCGCCTTCAAAGAGAGCTCCAAGGTACATCTGCTTACGCAATGTATTTGTGACGCGGGTTGGCACTTCCGTCTCGAGAAGCCGATCTTGGAGGATTTCATGAAGCACCTCGACCATCCATACAAGGGTGTGCGAGAGGCCATGGGCCAGACCATCGCGAGCATCTTCAGGACGCGTTACCACGAATCATACAAGGATGTCGACACGCTTATCAAGGCTCAGAAAGACGCTTCTTCGATTGGTGTCCGCCCGTATCAACCTACAGATGAGTTCTCCAAGACCATCACTGAAGTCTTCGATCGCCTCGAGGTTTGGCGCCAGGAGCGTCCTGCAGGCCAGCAGACACCTTCGTCATACACGTCAGGTGGTAAGACGGTTCTACTCTGGCTTGACTCTACGCTATCATCGTACGAGTGTACGTCGCTTGTCAAGTTCTTCCCCGACGTTTTCATGGAGCAGCTGCTACACATGATGGACATCAAGGAAGACCCCGAACTCCAGTCGCTAGCGTATCACGTCTTCCGCCATCTACCGAATATCCCACATCGCCAAGGTGAGGATGCAGACTTCATCGCTGCTCTCATTCGCATTGGACGCAATGCAACAAGTTGGCATCAGCGTCTTAGGATCTTGATCAACATTCAGGTCATCTACTTCCGCCGACTCTTCCTCATGAGCGAGGAGCAGCAGCAGAGCATGTTCGACTGCGTCTCTGCCATGCTCTCAGATACTCAGCTCGAGGTACGCATGGGTGCTGCCACCACTCTATCGGGCATGATTCGTTGCTCGCCCATAGCATTCCGCGACCGCCAAGTCTCCACGCTCAAGGAGAAGTTCACCAAGCAACTCAACAAGAATCCATTGCCAAAGAAGCGCAATCCAGGAACGCCGACAACAGAGCAAGGCAAGCTTGTCCTGACGCGCCACGCAGCTGTGCTAGGTCTCGGTGCGCTTATTCAAGCCTTCCCATATCAGAGCCCTCCGCCAGCTTGGTTGCCTGATGTACTGGCTACCCTGGCTAGGAAGGCTGCAGCCGACCCAGGCATGGTTGGCAAGAGTGTCAAGACTGTTCTCGCAGACTTCAAGAAGACCCGCCAGGATACTTGGCACGTTGATGTCAAGGTAAGTTTTCATCCTCAACCGAACTACGATCCGTACTAACTGTGACCTCAGGCTTTTGAACAAGAGCAACTGGAGGACCTTGAGGGTGTGTTATGGAAGAGCTACTTTGCATAGATGACGGCTAGGCAGATTGCCATCCAAAATTGGACGCTATTAACGACGCTCGGTGATACCATAAACAGCATGCATGTATTATAAGATAGATCGGACAGGTTATGACAACGAGCGATATGAAGAGGCTCTGCATCCATGGCGTCTAGCGGAATTAGCATCTTCTAGATAGTCTTGCTTACTCAACGAACTTTGTTTCTTAACGTGCTTACTCAGTCGCGACCCGAACTTCGCCCCTGATGTTTAAAGCTGCACTGCCCCTCCCCCACTTGGGAAGCTTAAGCGTACCTGCGCTGACATCACATCTCGACGACTCTACCAACAGCGAATATACTGCTGCACTACACGGATAAATTACACTCTTTTCCCAGCAATCTCTATATTAACCGCTCTACAATGCCATTGACCGTGCTTTCCGATTCGGACGTGCGTACCCTTTTACTGCAACTCACGAAGCAAGACATTCTCGATCTGCAGCAGAATCTTGCGGATGCGCTGCACCACTACTCTACCAGTACCGAAGAAGACGATAACAATGGGTGTTGTGAAAGTTTCCAGTCTGCAGGGACAAGCCTAAAGAGCAAAGATGGTGGATTAATGACTGTCACGCCGGCAAGCAGGTATGTCGCTTCTAGCAGCTATGAACGCAGAATGATTGTATTGACTGACCCTTGCAGCAACGATGGTCTTGGTGTCAGGATAACAACGCGACTGGAGTCGAGTTCTTCAGATACGGCCTCTGTTACTTCGTCGATGGACTCCCTCGCACTCTCCCATTCGTCAACACCAGCAAGCAAGAGTTCGGCAACCACCGCATCGAGATCAACCTCTCTTTCTGCATTCCAGACTTCTCCATCAAATGCCAGTCTAACTCTCTTTGACCGTTCTGGTAACCCTCGGGCTTTGTTGAACTCGTCAGAGATGACAGCTTTCCGCACCGCCCTCGCAAGCACAATGCTCTTTAAGAAGCGAGCAAACGTGCATGATGTGGTAGTGTTTGGAGCAGGAAAGCAAGCCTACTGGCACATACGGCTCGCGCTCCTTCTCCGAGGCGACGACGTCCACCACCTCAATATCATAAACCGAGACTTCGAGCGCGTGCACCAGCTACTGGAGAGACTATATAACCCACATGAAGCGCCGCCATCGAACTTCAATCCAGATCCATCCTACGTTCCAACATATCGGAAGGCAGCAGGAGAAGGGGCGAACGAAGGACAACAAGACCTACATCAATATCTACCTCGCCCCAAGATACAGATACTCACCCCAGGACACGGCGAGTATCCACGTCTCCTCCATGCCACTCTACGGTCCTCAAGCTGCATTTTCCTATGCACACAATCTCCAACACCTCTGTTCCCCGCAGCCATCCTCACAAATCCCGAAGGCAGAAAGAAAGGTCGCTACATAGCAGCCATTGGTTCCCTCTCCCCTCACAGCACAGAACTCCACTCAGATATAATCAAACAAAACGTAGCACCTGAGCACGGCCACCGACATTTCCACAAACATGCGCAACAAGGAGGCGCGATAGTGGTGGACAGCGTGGACAGATGCCTAAAGGAAGCTGGAGAGATTGTGCAAGCAGGTTTGGGTCCGGAACAAGTCGTCGAGATAGGCGAGCTGGTCATGTTGAAGCGGGATGCGGAGAGGAGAAGGAGAGAATGTATGGCTGGCAAGGGTATAGAGGCTGAGGGGCTGGATGTGGGTGGTGTGGAATTGGGTGAATGCGAGATGAACAAAAACGAAAAGAAGAAGGCGAGCAAAGGCGGTAGTAAAGAGAAGGAGAAGCATCGTGAGAGCGAGGACAAGGCGCACAAGAGTCTGATTGAGTGGTTGGTCAAGGGTAATGTGATATACAAGAGCGTTGGACTGGGCCTCACGGATGTTGTAGTGGGTGGAGATCTTGTCCGAATAGCGGATGAGCGCAATATCGGCACGAGGATCGAGAACTTTTAGAAAGGGTCGTCGCATCCATCACTGGAGTTGGTACCAGGCCTCGAATACCTGGACTCATGCGAATGCATCTAGAGGCGGTGCCGAGAGAATCGACCATATTCTACAAAAACGAAAGATGTATCATAAGAATTCGAGCATCACAAGCAAACAAAATATGCGAATGGCGTGCGTTATCGTGATTGATTCCAGTCAATGCAGTCGTTTGCCGACCGCTTTTAACCCTCCTAAACTCCGTTGGTATTGTGAACCGACTATATGCAGAGGTAAGAGACACGCCGTAAAGTCATCATGAAATATTCAAAGCACCTCAGGACCTGCTTAGATCTTGATAGCGCTCTCAACAGCCTTCCTGCGCTTCTCCATGCGGGCGTTGGCCTTGGCACCCATGATACCACCTCCCCAGTGACGGGCAGCGTCCTTGTGGTGTGACTCGAGGTAGCCGTCGTTGACAGCGGTGACGAGCTTCTGGAGCTCGTTCTTGTCCTCGGAGCGGACCTCGGTGAGGGCGAGAACAGCGGCGGTCTTCTGGTGGACGACCGTACCGAGACGGGCCTTGCCCTTGACAATGACGTAAGGGACACCTAATGAATGTCAGTTGATGTGCCATATGAAGTTTGCGCATTCCTAGCACTTACCCATCTTCCTGCAGAGAGCAGGGAGGTAGACAACGAGCTCGATGGGGTCGACGTCGTTGGCGATCAGGACGAGGGAAGCCTTCTTGTTCTCGATGAGGCCAACAACGTGGTTGAGACCGTACTTGGCGACGTAGGGCTTCTTGCTGACATCCTCCTTCTTCTTGCCCTCAGAGACGGCGGTAGCCTCCTTGGTGAGACGCTCCTTCTTCTCGGCCTTGGTCTCGGGACGGTACTTGTTGAGGATCTTGAAAGCCTGGGTGGCAAGGTTACGGTCGGCAACGTGCTGGAACTGGGCAATCGCCGGTGGGACCTTCAAGCGCATGTTGAGGATCTTCTTCTGGCGCTGAAGGCGGACGTAAGCGCTACGCGTTGTCAGTATCTGCAGAGTACGGTTGGGTTGGGGGTTGCTTACGGCCATCGGACCATGCGGCCGACGTTGCGCTGGGGCTGGATGTCCTGACCGATGCCATAGTTGCGAGGACGCTTCTCGATGAGAGGGTTCTGTTGCTTGTTAGCGCTTGCATGCAAAATCGTGTAGAATGGGCAGACCTTTTGCTTCTTGGCGGCAGAGGCCTTAGAGGTGGCCTGGGGGAAAGCCGCAGGCTTCTTTCCGGATCCTTTGGGAGGCATTGTCGAGGCTGTCATAGAGAACAGAAACCATTAGCGAATGTTCATTCACTATAGGTCTGAATCTCGTAAGAGCGAGAGGGCTTTTCAGCCGCTCTGCACTCTAGCCATCATTTGTATGCAACATGCTCGTAAAGAGACATGCGATTGATATGCTACCGAGCATTCATGGCGAAGATATGCGCTTACCTGGTGTGTTGGCGGCGGTCGACGAAGGGTGAGATTGGCGACGATGGACTTGACGAAACGTTCGAAAGCGGGCGCAAAAGTTGTCGCGACCGAAATCCAGATAGGCGAGTGCGTGCGGGTGTGGAACAAGGTTTCGCCGGCGCTAGTGCTGGCCCAATCGGAGCGTGGCACTTGGTTTTCGACCATCAACCACGACAACCTCAATTCCATGACAATGAACACGTTTGGCCTTAGTGGCAAGGGACGGATCACGCAACTGATCACCATCTTCTGTCTGTGGAAAGCATTGCTTCTCTTGCTTGCAGCGTTCTGTCCAGGTCCTGGCTATGACACCTCCGCGCTCATATTGTTCGACACGTACTATCGACGGCACCATGAATTCACCCTTTTCGCTCGACATGAGCGTCTCGCTCTCAACCTACTTCGTTGGGATGCACTGTACTTTGTGAAAGCAGCTGAGCGGGGTCTGTTCCACGAGCAAGCGTGGGCCTTCAGCGGGGCGTATTCGTATCTTCTGAGACTAACCGGTCAATGTGAGCAACGGTGGCCCAGTTCTTTGGCTCGGCACTGATATCTCCTAGTCATGGCTGGTAATACACAGGCCTCCCTGCACTACTATGTCCTGGCCGGAATCATCCTTTCTAGCGTCTGCCACCTTCTCTCTGTGCTAGTGCTGTATCGCCTTTTGACCTTGGTTCTGGAACCACAACGGCGACAGATCATCCCATTCATCGCCGCTGTCTTGCATATTCTGACACCAGCATCTCTGTTCATGTGTGCACCTTATGCGGAAGCCATGTTTTCACTGCTGAATTTTGTGGGGATGCTCTTCTACGCTCAATCTCGAGCTTCAGTTGGAACAGGAATGTCTTCAATCCAAGAGGATCTCCAGAAACTTGGCTCTGGCCTTTGTTTTGCTGCAGCAACACTCATGCGGAGTAATGGCCTACTGAGTGGCGTCATTCTCTTATACGATGTTGCAAGGTACATGCCTTTGGTTCTTTCTGCGCAGTTAAGTATGCGTGATTTGCGAAGGATTACCGTCACATGTGTGGCTGGCAGTCTTATAGCGTTGGCATTCGTTGGGCCGCAGGTTCTGGCATATGCGGAATTCTGTGACCGAGAGCAAGGCTCTGGAACCAGGCCGTGGTGTGACAAGAGCTTCCCAAGCATTTACTCGTGGGTACAGAGCTACTATTGGTGAGTAATCCCCACACAGCATGTTCCTAGTCTGACCTCTTCCAGGAACGTAGGACTCTTCCGCTACTGGACTCTATCAAACCTGCCCTTGTTTTTACTAGCGGCCCCTGTTTTATGGCTGCTTCTTACATCGAGTGTTACCATTCTCCGCAGCGGCGTCCAGCACCCGTTACATGGGCGCCCCGTACCCCGGACTAGTGGAACAACCAAACCCAGGGATGGAACCTCCGCGATATGCAAGCTACCGGAATTAGCCCTACCACAGCTAATACTGGCTGTAACGGCCGTTACCAGTTTCCATGTCCAGATTGTAAACCGAATCGCTTCCGGTTATCCGATGTGGTATCTTGTTGTGGCTACGTGGTTGGCAGACTCGCAAAGCACAATTCGTACAGAAAAAGAATCGCAGAAGACAAGATGGTATATTCAAGGTGGTATCATATATTGCTTGGTTCAGGGGATGCTATATGCCAACTTTCTCCCGCCAGCCTGAAGCTCAACTCAAGGACTTTCTCTTGAGACAAACCGGCAATGTGTTAGATGGCCGACGTAATCGACCTGTAGTTATTCTCCTGCCACATTTGACATGTGTGCATCGGGAACCATTTCTTGAGCAAGAAAAGCGAATCATGCTAAGGAAAGAAGAGGTCAAGAATGTGGAACACCAGCGATACGCAATCAAAAAGACGAATACCAACTTCACATTCTTGTTACCCCTCACATCACCAACGGTCTCATTCTGTCTCGGTAAACGGGCATGTTCCACAACTGCGTAAGCTTGTCGCACCTACAAGTTGGTGGCGTAAAGCCTACGGTCTAAGTGTTGAATGCAGACGCCTAGACAGCTAGTACGACACGGTCCATCCTAGTGAAAACGCCCGTCATCAGACATCGACTCTCCACTACGCGCATTTCGCAGATTCTACAAGACTTGAGGATATGTGAGGACGATAACTGGGGAAAATCAATGCCGATCAATGCCAAATACTGGTGACTACTTACAAGGCCCATTTTGAGGAAATGCGCTCCTTCAGACTAAGGCCCGTAGCGTTTACATGAAGCTTCGTATTACGAAAAAGGACAAAGGTTTAGTTGAGAAGCTACGGTCATGTAAGGTACTCCACAGTCTCACTGCTCGTGTCGCTGCTTAGGAGTTTCGGCCATCACAAGTGTTGAGACATACACTCTAGAACGGGCTTTTAGGGCGAGGTTTGAGGATCGCTTGGAGTGGCTGAGCTCTCTCTAGCCTGTCATGGAACGGCTCCTTGACAGTATCGTACCTGCGTAAGCTATGGACGCTGATCGTCGAGTAAAGGACCGGATCGCTGTCTAGCCACTGGAAATGCGAATCAATGGCGATCTGCTGTGCCAGCACACTACTTCATTTCCAACAAGTTTATACACAACCAAGGTCAGGAGGGTTAAACCTTACTGCATGATGGGACATATTGGGCGAGGCAGAACATTGCAGTACCCATCGCTTGTCCCCACATGACCTACTACTACTGACATATCGCTGATGTCGCAACGACGACTACGACCTCATGGACACTAAAACGCCTTTTTGAGACACTGACAGTACCCTAGTTTCTAAGCCAGGGACCTTCGCTTGAGCATGATGTTCACTGTCATGTTTTACACAGGCGCCACCGATACTACTCACTTTGCCGTAGCGAGGGCAAGAAGCGACATGAAAATGGATAGCGGAGCCTTGGGCTCAGTATGTTTGTAACTAGTCCCTTCGATGACGACAGCGACTTATAAAAGCTGCTCTAGCCCCTTGAATGATAGGTGTGCTCATCAACCCAGAACGACCTACACTTGTTGCAAAGTCAAAATGAAGTTCTCTACTTTCGCTACGTTGATCAGCCTTTCTGTAGTTTTGGCAGCAGTTCTCGATACTAGGCAAGAATGCTCCCAGAATGACTGTTATCGCGCAGTCTGGCGTGACGGCGGATTACCTCGTATGATTCAAGCTGGACAGGACTGTCAAGACTTCCTCACTACAAGCGTCATCTGGAACCCGATGTTTGTAGCCCACAAAAGCTACATGAATTCTCTGACAATTAGATAAAGCACCACCCTTACGGTCATTACTCGAACAACCTCTACCACGACGACACCGTGCTCTCCGACATTGACACCCACCACTACGAGTCTCATAGCGCTCCCAACATCATCGGAAGATAACAAACTATGGATTCGACAAGTTCAGCCCACTGATTGGTCTACAACGACGGTCTTTGGTTCTCAGCCTTCCTACGCCACACAAGACTGTAACTCACAAGCATACTCATCCGCATGTAGGTGTGCGAACATCACTACAGCTATAGTCACCTATCTCGGAACTGTAAGTCGTTTGCTGAATGAGACAGTGTGCAGGCTGATCATATATCACAGACTGTGACCAATACCGCGACCACAACCATTACCAGTATCTCGACGACTAGCACGTCGTGCCCAGTGTTTACTCCTTCATCTTCAGCCAACTCTCCGACCTCATCAAGCACACATACATCTTCTTCATTATCTAGCAGTGTCACTAGTAGCGTGATCTCGAGCACATTGTCATCCACAAGTACAGGTAGTTCTTCTTCAAGCTCGGCTACATCATCGGTTAGCACGGGTAGCTCTTCTTCGAGCCCAACCACTTCATCGTCTAGTACGGGAGGCTTTTCATCCTCGCCGACTGAATCTAGCAGCTCATCGAGCACACCAACTACTTTTAGCTCTTCCAGCTCTTCAACCTCTGCCTCGACAGCGCCAACTACAGCGTCTTCCAGCTCTGGTAGCTCGTCGATTATCGAACTGCCTACTACTTCGGGTACCTCATCCACAGCATCAAGCAGCTCGTCGACTACTTTAGACGAAAACCCTATCACAAGCAACACGCTGAGCTCTTCCAGTTCTTCATCAAGTGCCACACCAACGAGCTCATTGTCCTCCGTTACTTCTTCCGAGAGTCTTTCCAGCAGCTCTTCTTCGAGCTCATCCGACACTTCAAGCTCTATGAGCAGCCGTACTTCTTCCGAAAGCTCTAGTAGTAGCACATCGTCTGCCTCGCTTAGCAGTTCAAGTGTCTCATCCACAAGCACTTCATTGGGCTCATCCAGAAGCATCCCGACAACTTCCACTAGTAGCACTGGATCCGAATCGTCAAGCAGTATAATTCCGACGTCAAGCGATTCGAGTTCGTCGTTTAGTAGTATCTCGTCGTCCACAGCAAGTAGTACAGACTCATCGTCATCGCTGTCATCATCTACTAGCATGACATCGACTTCCAGTGGTTCGAGCACGTCGGCTAGCAGCAGTGCTTCATCCTCGACCAGCAGCACAGAGTCATCAACCTCCTTACCCTCATTTTCTTCTTCATCATTTGGCACTACAACGGTCTCTTCATCCACTGGTACATCATCGACTACGTCCACGACGAGCGCAACACCCAGCCCACCCACCTGCGGAGGTGATGGCGTTGCACTTTGTGACGGCGGCTGCCACGACCTCAAAACCGACGTTCTTCACTGTGGTCGCTGCAACAATGCCTGCGCTGCGAATAAAGGATGTTTCAACGGAGTCTGCGCGTCCTTCCCTTGTGATTCCACTTGCGCGTTCGACCGTCTGTGCGGTTCCGGCAACGGGACCACGATATGTCGCTGTGCAACAACCACGGAAGGCGCTGGTGTCTGCTACAACAAGGACGGAACTGACTGTACGGACCCTGCTATTACCCAATGCAGGCTCTCAAGTGAATGCCCCGTTGGTATGGCTTGCATGCCCAACATCTGTGACTGTGGAGATCAAAGCAAGGGAATCTGTGTTGGCACGGCTGGATGCGGAGACCAGGGAACGAGCATCATGAGAGGACTAGTTAGGATTGGGGAGATGGAGAGGCGAAGGAGGACCGTGAGGGGCTTGGCGAACTCTCTTTGAGGGGAGATACGGAGCGAATAGGCCATGGGAGTGGCCCGGGTGTGTGGTAGCATACGCAGGGAGATGGGTGGCATCGTGTCTTGTTATTTGGGGAAAGTTTGGCTGCTCGATACATACTACCTAGGTAGTGAGCGTTGTATAATGGTTTTCACAACACAATATACATCCTTCGCTTCTATACTTCGGCATCGCTTGCCGTATTGTGAAAAACACTCGACGTCAGTGCGCGATAGGCTTCCTCTGCATAACAACACGGATGGCTCTCGCTTTGTTATGTCGCGTTGTTGTGGGCGGTCAATCCTCCCGAGGCCAGATGCTAGCTTCTTCCATCATGTGAGCAACACAGACACCAAAACACAATAAAATGATGTGCCAGAGACTTGGGCCAGAGGTTTGCGACCGCGAACATGCAGGATGCGGTGTGATTGGGGAGATGAAGTTCGTGTGTGGAGAGACGTTTTGTCGGCACCCTAGCAGCAGAACAGCCATGGGCAAACGGTTCCTCCAGGTTTCCATGCCTGACGACGATTATGACGGATGCAAACTATAAGCGCATGAATATGGCCGTCGATAGAAGTTAGCGCGTCACGGTGGCATGCATTGGCGTGCACCCCACATGCTAGCACGCGTGGTTGCTGGGACGATCGCCCGCATGTTTATGGGTATCCGCAAACGGACGGTCGACCTGCCTCATCATCGCCTTCCTCTAATATGTCCGCCATCCTTCTGCTATAGACAATTCACGTTTCAAGCCTTCTCTTCCCGGCCCCGGCCTCAGTACACGCTTCCACAATTATCTTTTTTTCTGGAGCAGCATCATGTCGACGCCGGACATGGCCGCACCACCCGCTGCAGGGCACCGACGCAACAAATCCTCTGCAGTGCTCAAGTCTATTATTGTAAATAAAGGCCACAGGCGTTCGCCGACCGAGGGCGCTGCGCTGCACACCGCTCAGATATCCAACCCGCCATACATGCCTGTCTCCAACTTCCAGGCGCCCTTGCTACCGCCAGACCACCCCCATAGCCAATTGCGCGCGGCCAACCAGACAGAGAACGACCCCCTCAACCCGCCGTCGCCTCGCAAGTCGCAGGACGCCAAATCGAGCCCCAAGAAGAGCCTGCACAAGAAGACGCTCAGCTCCGTATCGCTGCGGTCACTGGCGAAGAAGGAGGACAAGTCCGCTCACAAGAAATCGTTCGACGCGCGGCGAGCGCAGGAGGAGATTGAGGCAGGCGAGAAGCCCAAGAAGACGAAGTCGTCGACCAATCTGGCTGCCATGTTCGGCAAGGGCAGGAGAGACAAGTCACCCGTCAAGGAGAGCAGAGACAAGGAAAACACCACACCACCCCGCACCTCCTATGCACAGGCCCCACCGCGCACTCCCATTTGGGCCGAGTTCAGCTCCCAGCAGGAAGTCACCACCACGAGCAAAGTCCCTCTGAACGACCAGCGCCGGAGCGTCGAGGACGAGATCGCCCTCTACACACCGCAAGACTACTCGCCCACCAAACAGCGCAACTTCTTCGAGACTGGCCAGCCCTCGCTCCGACCTACCCAGAAGGAGCGACCCAAGTCCATGTTTGTTCCCAAGTCGACTTCCACGGCATCGTTACTCGAGACCTTCTCGCGCAAGCGGAGCAACGAGCGTGTTCCTCTGTCCGACACCAAGGGCAACGAGGGACGCACCAGAGAGAGCTCTCCTACCAAGCCGCCGAGACCCATACTCAGTAGAGCGAGTACCGACACTGGCAGCAAGGACTACAGCCTCAAGGATATGGCACCTCCGCCAAGTCCTACAAAGAAGCAGAACCGAGTCATGGCCGCCGTCGCTGCCTTTAACGGAAAGTCCAAGCAAGCTGAGAGTGCCCCGGCTTCTGCCAAACCTGATCCTAAGGTGGTAGACGCCGAGTTCGAGGAGGTTCTGGTAAGTGCTCTCTCGATATCTAGCTGATCCCTCTACTAACAACATCAGGAATCCCGAAATATCCCCGCCCACCAGCGTGCGCAGATGCGGACACTGAAGCTAGAGGTCAAGGCCGACTTTGTTCGAATGCACAAGCTTGACATTCCACAAACCTCGAAGACAAACTCTGCACATTCTTCCATTGGAGAGAACACCAAGCAGGTACCACAGAAGTCATCCAAGTCTCGACACGGATCTGCTGTTGAAGATGCAGAGGATGAGGCGCAAGACAAGTCAGCAAACTCAACTAAGCGTGAGCGTCCAAGGAGCCGAACCTTTACCTTCAACAGGAGTGACTCTCCTACAAAGAAGCAGAAGGGCGGCGAGTTGGGCGAACGAAAGACGTCGTCAAAGCCAGCTCCTATCCCCAAATCTCCCTCTATGAGATCTCTGAGGTCTAACGCTTCTGACCGATCTGTGTCCAACGGAGCCAAATCTGTCAAGGCCGACGAGTTCATCTCCTACATGAAGAAGACCCCCAAGCCACAGAACGTCGAGGTCGGCAAGCTGCACAAACTCCGCTTGTTGATCCGTAACGAAACTGTCGACTGGGTTGACAACTTCATCCAGGACGGTGGTATGACTGAGCTAGTCGCACTCCTCCACCGGATCATGGAGGTTGAGTGGCGCGAAGACCACGAAGACACTCTTCTTCACGAACTCCTCCGCTGTCTCAAGGGACTCTGCACGACTGCTACCGCTCTCAAGCAGCTTAACGAGATCTCATCGACACTGTACCCAGCCTTGCTGGCTATGCTTTTCGACGAAGAGCACAAAGGTCCGAGCGAGTTTACTACGCGTGAACTCATTATCGAGATCATCTTCGCTCACATCTCCATGGCACCAGAGGCTGAACTGGAGACTCGCGCTACCGAGTTGATGAAGTATCTCAAGGATCCAGTCAAGGAGAAGCAGGCATCCACTGTTCCGTTCATTCTACAGATGCACCAACCACGACCCTACCAAGTATGGTGCAAAGAGATGTCCAACGTCACCAAGGAGGTTTTCTGGATCTTCATCCATCACCTCAACGTCATCCCTGTTCCACCCAAGCCGACAGGAGACAGGTCTTACGCTAAGACTCACTTCCCCGGTCAACGCGCCATTGTGCCCGCAGCTCCCTACGTTGGTGGTGTAGAATGGGATGCGACCAACTACCTCGCCACACACATTGATCTCCTCAACGGCATCATAGCTTCACTCCCCACCCGCTCAGCACGTAACGAATTCCGCCAGGAACTCAAAGTCTCCGGCTTCGAGAAGCTGATGGGTCACCTCCGAGCCTGCAACCCCAAGTACTATGGCGCTGTTCACGACAGCGTCAAGGTCTGGATCGGCGCTGCACTTGAAGACGATTGGGACGTCAAGACTGTGCGTATGGGCTCTGACGGCAACGTGAGCCCAGCCAAGCAAAGCCCCAAGAAGAAGACCGAGCCTCCGCCACAACTCCAGGCACCACCTAAGATGGATGTCGGCCTTGGTCTCGGATTGGGCTTTGAGAGGGAGATTGCGATCGGCAGCAAGAGTATCGTGGATGACGATTGGATCTAAACTGTCGGATCACTATTCGACATGGCTACCCATCATCTGTTACCGCTTTGAATGCTCTCGACTATCTACCCACTTGGATACCACCTCACCCACTACGCATCTACAAACAACCACTGCATTGATTTTTCCAACGGCGCAAAACGGATACATATCGGCGTTCATCACCTCTCCATCTCACGTCCATGCATTCACACCGGTCAATCCTTCGTTTTCCACCACGCTCTCTTTGGATCTACCTATGGTCGAGTCCAAAATCCCTACCTTATTCACGACTTTAGCATGACATGACTTGACGACCGACACGGCTGGTTCCCTGGGACGACGTTGTGTTTTTACTCTCTCTCCCTTTCGGACACAGATACATGAAACTTGTGTATATACTAGTTTTGGAGCCCTGTTTTGTTTTTTTGTTTTCTTGGATGCATCTTTATGGGGCGTATAATGTTGGACTGTGGTGTTTGGGTAGTCCTTGCGCATTGCGAATCTAGTGGTCTATCTTCACTATTATCTTCTCGTGATGACGTGTGGTGATGATTGTTTATCATATATTGGTAAATGTGATACAAAAGCCCTACGCAGGACTATGAATATTCTATGTGGGGTATCTGACAAGTTTCACAACCAACTCCGTCAATCCAGTGCATGCCGCTAAATCATAACTCCATCTACATCGTGTGCTTGACAAACTTCAAGCCTTCTTCTTGCCTTTTCTTCGGCCCTTCTTCTCGGCGACTTCCACCGTTCCGCCCTCGACTTCACCCTCTTGCAGCCCCATGACTTCATTCGCCTGCATCTCCTTCAACTTCTCCTGGCCTGAGATGAAGAAGCTCAAATCGCGGTTCTGCTCCTCAAGGTCCGCTTTCTGCGCATCAAGCTCCTTGACTCTGTTCTCCGCTTCTTCGGCCTTCTTTTCCAAGTGTTTGATGCGTTCCATAAGAGACTCGTTCACAATCTGCTCTTCCTTGTACTGCTTGGTGAGTTTGCGAGCGAGGTCGGATGCTGACGCTGCTTTCTGAGCGTTGCGAGCGGATTCCTTTGTGAGAGAGGCGATGGTGGCTGTTGCTTCTTCGTGCTCAGTGGATAGCTTGTCGAGTTTCTGAGACAATGAAGCAACAGAACGGCTTGCTTCGTCAGCGGTGGAAGCTGCTTTTGCCGCTTTGTCGACTGCACGCTCAAGCTGTTCTTCAAAATATGCGCGTTGAGATTCGAGTTGCGAGGTAAGTAGGTACGCGTACTCCATACCCATGTTATCCAGCTTCTCGCGTGGTACGGTGTCGTTGGAGTAGCCTGTCATGCCGGGTGCACTGAAGGACTGGTTAGAGGCTGGCATGTCGACGAGCTTGCCGTCTGCTTTGTTCTGTATGAGTCGATGGACGTAGCCATCACCTGCATAATCCCAGACGTGTTGCGTTACCACATCCATGGCATAGGTATGACTCGTTGCCTCATAGTGTGCGAATGCGTGCGCCGAGTCGTAGCGACCACACCCTATGTTGCCGCAGATCAGACAGATCCAAAGATTTTGTGTGGATCCGCAGACGCTACACTCATTATCCGGGCTCTCGCCATCAGTGCCACGGTTCAAGGCAAAGGCATCATTTTGTGTGTAGCGGCAGACTGGACAGCCTGAGCCTCGCCACTTCTCAAGGCAAGCGCAGTGAAAGACATGCTGGCAGAGAATCGTCAAAAGCCCTGTTGTTTCGTCCATGCGTTCGAGGCAGACTGGGCAGGTGGGTAACTCTACCAAAGCAGGCGTAGGTGGAGCGTGCGGTTTTGCGGTGAGGGAAGTAGCGATTGGTGGGCCCTCAACTGGCGAAGAGACGTTGCCAGCTGGCGGGAGAGGTGCAGTAGGTTGTTCGGTCGGTGCGGGCGCAAACGGATCGTTCGTAATATCGGGATATGAGGTAGGATCGCGGTTCGAGTCGCCGCTCTGAAAATTGATCGACTTGACGAACACGACGTGACAATACTCAGGCTATCGATGTTAGCTATCGCTCCTTGACTGCAGCGATACGTTCTCTTACCTCCATACTGTTGAAGGCCTTGCCGTCCCATTCTTTTCTCCACGCTCTAGCTCTCTCGGCTTCCCGAAACTTCATCAACACCATGTACTTGTTCGCTCTGCTTGTCCGGATAAGTCTGAAGTGGGAAACCTCCTCTCTGGTCTGCTCGCCCATGAAGCCCAAGAAGTCGGATGGTGTCATATATGAGGGGACTGCTAGTATGCACAGGGTGGTGCAGTCCTCCTCATTGAATTCCTTGCTCGCTCCATCCACCTCGTCGTACAGCCCTGGTGTTTCCTGTCCATCGCGGTAGAGATGTACCACACCCCAGCCAACCTCTGTGTTCTTCGGTTCCGAGGGTATGAACTTGCCCTTTGTCGCGAGACCGCCGGTGTTTGGCGCGTGTGAGGGGTGCTTGAGGTGGTTGGCGCGAGTTCGATCAAGCTCAGTGCTGGTCGGGTTCATGTCGATGCTGAGTATAGATATGGTGTCGAAACGCCAGTCTCTGTGCGCAAAGCTCTGTGTTCGTCTGTGTCCCGGCCTCTTCGGAGGTTTGACGACCGGTACGGGACTATCGTGGTGGTCGGAGAACGATGGTCGCGTGCGCTGGCTGAATCGACGGGCAGTAGATTGGCGATCGCGAGAAGCAGTAGCTTGGCCGGTTTCACTACTAGAGGCTATGGGCTTTGTGAAGCTATTATAGGCGCGTGATGGCGGAGGGGGAGAGCCCCACGATGCTCGGCGATGGGCCGGAAGTCTCGAGAAGATGTCGGTTCGCGGCGGAGGGGTAAACGTTTTGTCCGGTGGTGAGCGCGAGGGATAAAGCTCCAAGGTAATGTGGAAGAAGTACGCCGGCATCAGGTGTTGTTTGAAGAAGTCCGCATTTCCAGCCAGTGTCGGACAATGTATGCGAACTTATGAATGTTAATGTGAACTGGACGTGTTTGCGACCTGAGCCGCGGCAGTGTGGGGCAAGCGCGTCACATCCCGCTTTCACTAGCGCTGGCTTAGTCTAGACGCGCACACCTTCGTAACAAGGGCACAAGTCAAACATTAAAAAGAATTTGTGAATAAAATTATGTATCTACTTCTTCATAGTAGTTGTGGTCCGTAGACGCTTACTGATGCAGCCCCGGATATTGTAAACGCCATAGCTATGCAAATGTAAGAAACATCGTATCCTAGCACACCTGCTGTTCCTACACCTAGGTGTACGGTAATGGACAGAGCCAGGCTAATAAGAGCAGTTCATAATGCCACCCGAACGAACAGGATTCGGGTGCCGTGTCGTGAAGTCATTCGCCAAAACGCGCGTGATGGGTATCGCTTTTGAACATGTGGGGAAACATTCGCGCCGGTTCCAAAGGTATGCTGGGTGTGTTTGTGTAGTCGTGTATTTCGCTGTGTTGAACGGAAGAGTGAGGAGGCCTAAGCCTCGACGTCGATTAATTCGCCTTCAGAGACGTCTTCGATCTCGTGGCCTCTAGCATTGACGACAATACGTCGTCCTCGTTGATCAGCGGGAACGCCGTCGCGCGAGGCACCGAAGTCAAGAACCTGATGTATTGTTAGCAAGAGCCCCGACGAAAGCCTTTACTGAAGGTGGGGCGCAGCTTAGAGGAGACGGGCTCCTTTTCGCTGTTAATTGCTTACCTCAATGTATGTCATGCTGTTTCGCTGAACAGCAGCAACGCAGCGACGCTCGTTGAACTTGACCTGCCAAACACCGCTCAGATCTGTGAGCAAGTCCTTAACGAACTCGCCCGTCTTCACGTTCCACATCTTGAGTGTTCGGTCAGAGCCAGAGATGACCTTCTGGCCATCATGCTGGAAGCAGGTAATGGCACCTGTGTGAGCACAGAGTCGGCTCTTGCATTGTCCGTTCTCCGGATCCCAGATTCGGAGGGTTGAATCAGCAGCAGCCGACACCAAACGCTCATGGCTCAAGTCGAGAAGACCAACAAGTGAGGTATGACCTTCAAGGGTGAAGATACAGGCACCTGTTTCCAGAGACCAGACCTTGACCATGTTATCCATCGAACCACTGATGCAACGGTTGCGCGCGTGGTCAAGGACGACGCTATACACCTTCTGCGAGTGGCCTTGGAGACGTTGCAGAACTTCTCCAGTCGAGATTTTCCACACTCGAACTGTACAGTCGTAACTACCACTGACGAGCGTGTCGCCGTGTGCAGCGATTGCACGTACTGAATGATGGTGCCCAGTTAGAGCGCGGATAAAGTACGGGTTGTCGTGATCGTTGGATGCCGCTGCAGTCTGCATGATGCCCCGGTCGCCTGGCTTGGGAAGCTTCCAAACACGGAGGGTGGAGTCTCGTGAGCCAGTGATGATGAGCTCCTCCTTCGGCATCATGATCGGCTGCCCGTCAAGGGTCTCACCAATCTGAGTTGGCTTGAGGATCACTAAGCACCGGACGGTGGATGTATGGCCCTGGAACACGTGTGTGCACTTTCCGTTTTCGATGTCCCATACTCGCACTGAGCGATCAGTCGAGCCGGATACAAGTGTGTTTCCCTCATACTGAAGAGCCCACACGCCACCCTCATGGCCCTCGAGGCGGCTTCGTAGCGCTCCTGTCTTGGTGTCGTAAACATTGATGTTAGTATCGTCACTACCAGTCAGGATCTTGTCTGTGTCGAATTGCAGACATGTCACTACGTGGCGCTGATGTGCGCGGAAAGCAATGTGCTTTGGTTTTGTGTCTACCGCCATCCAGCTTTTGCGGATGAGGTGATGTCTTTGGTACAGAGATTTGAAAAGATGCATAGCACGAAGGCCGGGCAAGCCAACGTTGGGATCAGAGATGGCGGCTTCTGCTCTCTTAGCAAAAGCATGCGGGCCCTCTTGATAATCTGCAGGTTGCGAGTAGAGGGCAACCTGTGTCCTTGTGGAGGTACGACTCTTGCGAGCCTTTTTGCCACTGCTGCTGCTATGCTTACTTGTAGCCTTCCTCTTCTGACGTGTGGACGAGGATCG